TGTTGTTGTTGTTGTTGTTGTTGTTGTTGCTGTTGTTGTTGTTGTTGTTGTTGTTATTGCTGCTGTTGATGTTGCTGCTGTTGCTGTTGCTGCTGTTGTTGTTGTTGTTGTTGTTGTTGTTGCGGTTGTGGTTGTGGTTGTGGTTGTTGTTGTTGTTGTTGTTGTGGTTGTGGTTGTTGTTGTGGTTGTTGTTGTTGTTGTTGTTGTTGTTGTTGTGCTGGTGGTGTCGGTCGTCGTGGGTCTGGTCGTGGGCGTGGTAGTGGTAGGAAACCCTACCCTCCAACATCCTGCACTCTAGGCCTGTAAGCAGGCTTCGGGTTTAGGGCGTGGGAAGACACCCCTAGCCTACCTACCTACCAACCTACCTACCCCACCGACTTGCCTGCCTCCTACCTCCTTACCTCCCAACCTCCCAACCTCCCCACCGACCAACCTACCCATACACCAAAGCCTTCATCCCTTACCACCTTGAAACCCTATGCACACTCCGACACTACAGCAGAAACCGTCAAAAGCACAGCAAAAGCACCACTGAGATCCACGTGAACATATGCCACGAAAGTGTATGCTTACGTGTAACACCTGCCAATGATACTTTTGTCATGAAGCTCATACCCCAAAAGCTACAACTGCGGCTGAGAGGCCACGAAGGTCTGGGTCTGCGCGGCCGTGGGCCGTGCAGAGCCCTTAGGTTGGAGTTTCCCCTAAACCCTAAACCTTAAACCGTACTCCTATATGCCCCGATGCCCCAGGAGCCTCAAGTAATGTGACGGATAAGGCTAAGTTTAGGGTTTAGGGTTTAGACCTCAGCTCTAGCTATAAGTCCCAACCTACACTGTGGGGTTTCAAGGATGAATCCAAGAAGGACTTAGCCCTTCTTGAGGAAGCGTAATGTAGGACCTGGTTGAGCAACCCTGGCCTTTGTTAGGGTTTAGGGTTTAGGGTTTAGAATTTAGCCTTTGTTAGGATTCTTGATATGAATACGAATATTTTGGGGTTCAAGGGCCAGGGTTTCTTAATCAGGTTCCTATATTCAGTGCTTCAACGTGCGTGTCTGTGCCTCGACCTGGAACACGCAAGGGAAATATAGCGCGAGCTCTCTCAAGGGCTGTTCTTGAACGTATATATGTGTGTAGTACATGCATACAGACAAAACACACAAGCGTGCACACACACACACACACATATATATATATATATATATGTCGCGATACAACTTGACTAAAAGCCTCAAAGTTCAGAGATTGCCCGAGGCTAATCCCATTGAGCCGACCGTACAGGAAATCCAGTCGAGATCACAATATTTGGCAGAGAACCCTGCCTCACAGAAAACAGTACCAGAAATCGGCATGGAATTAGACTACTTTACCCCATACATACCCAAACAAGTGTATATGTATATATGTATATATGTATACAACTATGTGTGTGTATATATATATATATTCCATATATGTATACATGTATATACACACACACCTGTGCATACATATATATATATATATATAATACACACCAAACAAACAGGTTTTTACAGATACAAAATGGAACGTTGTGTGTATAAAAAATATACACATCTGTACACACACACATATATATATATATACACATGTATGAGTATATGTATGCACATCGGAGTATACAAAGGTGGCGAAGGTTGTGTGTGTATGCGCTGCTGCTGCTGCTGCTGCTGCTGCTGCACTGATACGACGACGTCTTACTCTGACTCTGACTCTTACTCTTACTCTTACTCTTACTCTTACTCTTACTCTTACTCTTACTCTTACTACTACTAGTACTGCATGCTACTACTACTACGACGACGACTAATACTACGCCAATACCTGCGCCTACGCCTACTGCCATTTCCTGCAACTTACCTGTACTTGAAGTCTCAAGCCTGCGCGCGAAAATGCATTTCATCCCACAAAAAAGGCGCCCGGCCGGATGCAATAGTGGAAGCGACGAGGCCTGTGAGTGTATGATGGGTTTTAGGTTTAGGGATTTAGGGTTTACGGCTTCGGGTTTTAGGGCTCTAATTGGCTCTAAGCGCAGGGGCTTATTGAGTCTATATAGTTTATGAGTTTAGGGTTTGCGACTCCGAACTAGGGGTCTCTGGCTCTACCACATGGATAGTTCTCTAACTTCGGGTCCCTTTCTTTAGGTTCCCCAAGTAGTACGGCACTCGTATAAAAAAAAGCCTTAAAGAGGACCCTACTTCAAATAACCACCCACATGAGTCTCTTGCCCTTGAGCCGAACATCCAAGCCTTGCCCCACAAGCCAACAACTCCCACGCCGCTTAGAGGAAGCTTTACAAGCCCCCTGTCTACACTTTTGGCAGCCGCCATGACACCCTAAACCCTAAACCCCTAAGCCCCAACCCCTCAACCCCGAAACATTAAATCTCCTAAAGCCCCAAAACGCCCTAAACCCCAAGCCCCTTTACCCTTAAACCCCGCGCCAAGGCCCTTCCAAGGCTCGCACCATGGGGCCTGCCCTCATCCTTGGAGAGACATCTGGCCTCAGAAACTCGTCAGTTTTTCGGGTTGTACGGCCTGCTTTAGGGTTTTGGTGGGTTCGGGTTTATGGTTTAGGGTTTAAGGTTTAGGGTTAGGTAGGGTCTGCTTCAGGGTTTCGGGCTTAAGGCTCAGGGCTAATATGGGGGCCTTAATAATTAGAATAAGGTTCTTGGGTTGAGGGTACCTCTCAGACGGGCTCAGGGCTAAAAAAGTGTAGGGTTTAGGGCTTCAAGAGTCTATAGTTTAGGGTCTAGTTGGGGATCTAAACGGCAGGATTGAGGAGGGCCTTAAGGGTCTGGGGTGTAGGGTTTAGGGTCTAGGGTTATAGGCTTTGGGGGGTTAAGGGTCGAGACTTATGGGCTTCTGGGTTTAGGGTTTTTTTTTTTTTAAAGTGCAATGGCTCCTTTTCTCCGCAGAAGCCCGCCTGTAGCAGGCATACACTCAAAAGGCAAGGCAGCATCAGCATAACCTCTTGCCATCCGACTTGCTTACAAAATGACATCATATCACTCAGTGCCCGAAGCAGGCTCATGATCATCAGGATCACTGTCTAGCTCTACCGAACCGGAACTCTCAGGCCGATCTTCATCATCTTCAACAGCATGACCAACACCACCAGCACCGACTCCAGCAGCAGATGAGAGCGCCTCATCTGTCCCAAACACGGCATCGATGTCTTCCATGGTGGCATCAACCTCCGTCATGTCCACAGACTGAGGCGGGTACATGGAATTCATCAAAGACGACGCGCCACCAGATCCAGCTTGTCGAGCTTGCCGAGCATCTCGTAAAAGAGGACTTGGCCTTGGAACGTGCTGTCGTCGACGGGAATGCCACTCTTCACGTCGGGGTAGCGTGCTTGGCCTTGTACAGCTCTCAGGGACTTGCAGCTCAGCCGAGGCATTGGTTTGGACGATGTAGAGGTCCTCGTCCTCCTCTGAAGGCCATCGACCTTCTGGTACCACCCCATGCTCCCTCGCATGGATCAAGCGAGCATTTTCTCTCCAGAGGCGACGTCGCAGCCCAACGACAGTATGTCGTTCCAATTGTGGCAGAGAGCCCCACAACTCCTCCAGCGTCGTGGGAAGGCCAGGGCGTAGAAGTACCACAAGGTTGTTGACCTCCGTATTGGCCTCTACGTTGCCAGAACCACCTGGTTGTCCAGCCTCACTCGCTATGCTCTCCCATATGGCGGCCTCCATGGTAGGGGAGTTCAGCAACGGTGCTCTCGGGAGCGACGCAAGCCATGGTAAGGTTTCCTCAATCGCGACCCCCAAAAGGTGGTGGTAACGCTGCAGTCGCCGTTGTCTTGCCAGCAGGCGGTGAAGGACTTCCAAGATGTCAGCTTGACTGCCCAGCATCATCTGCCTATTAACCGCGTCACGGACAACGTCCTCCGGCCGCAAGGACGAGGTAGTGGAAGTGGTTGGTCCATAATCCACTATCTCACCCTCTTCAACAGTCCAGTTCGCCCCAAACCACCCCAAAGAAGTGCAGGTTTGGACATGTGGCAAAGTTGTTGTAGTCGAGGAAGACAGACACCCCAGCGAAGACAAAGTACAGGACGATGTCGAGGGAGGAGAAGGACAGGGAGGAGCCGAAGAGGCCGATGTCGACAAGCAGTCCAGCGCCTCCAGGTAGTCGCAGTCGAAGTAAGTCACCCCCGAGGAAGACGATGACGGATTAGGCTCCCCAACTTCAACAAGGTTCACCCCATGTTGCAGTAGGTATACAACCTCCTCGCAGGGCCAGGTCGACGTAGTAGAGGTGGTGGAAGGATCACTCCAAATTCCCAGTTGTTCCCCTGCTAGTGCTCGCTGGACCTCCGGGCCAACATGCGGCGGAAAGTTGACGGGTAGTGGAGGCGGAGGTCCCCTGGGGGTGGCACCTGAGGAGCACGGAGACACATCTACCAGGTTGCCGTTGTCGTCGTACGCAATATCGCTGCGCGCATAGTTGCTGGCTCCTTCCTCAGAACTAGAGCTCGAGGCCGCTTGCGCGGACTCATGGGACCTGCACACTCTGGACGGGGAACGGCTGCGGACCCTGATACTGGGCGAAGACTCGGAGGACGATGTGGCCGGGTGAGCCGCTGGCACACTTGTAGCTTCGTGCCTCGGCCCTCGAGTATCTCCTGAGGACGATGCTGGCATCTCTCTCGGCCCTCCAATCGCCACCACGTTGACCAGGTTGTCCGCCACCGGCTGAAGCTCAGAGGGCTGTAGGGGTACCTGGAGGTGCTGATTTAAGGACTCCGTCATCAACGAGGCGTAGTTCCTCACCCACGAGAAGAGCCTCCACCTATCGGTTTCTTCCCTAGGTAGCCGCTGCACCGGCCAGAAACCACGCGGTTGTAGTCTGCGGGCGAACACCTCCAGAATACTTTCAAGGCTTTGCATTCCTTCCTCCAGGCGCTGGGTGATCCGACCAAGTGCCCAGCGTGATTCCGGACCAAGCTCCGCGGTGTTGCGCTGGTCGAGCTGCCGGAGCAGGTCATCAAGGCGATCAATTTGTTGTCGTGGTACGCCTTGTTCTTGTAACATAGCTCGCTCGACATCTGCATCATCCAGGAAACGTCACCCTCCTCCGGGATGAAGGGGCTGACATTGGGGTACAGGCCAGCATTCGGAAGCATCGTCTCCCGATCAGTAAGTCCGCCGTCAGGGGCAAGTGAGGTGGTCGACGAGGTTGAAGAAGAGCCCGACCATGCCCAGGAAGACGAAGAAGGGCTCCAGGAAGAAGTCGACCAGTCCCACTCTTGCCAGCCCCACCAAGTTTCCTGTCCATTCCACTGTCCTGACCACGGGTCCGGGTCAGTGGCCTCAGTCGGCATGTCTCCCGCATTGACGAGAGTGGAGTTGTCCACAGGTTCCAGACTCACTTCCTCCTTGGGGGAACTTTCTGGAATGGCTGTCCCAGCAGTGCCAGCATCTCGCAGAGTCTTTTCAGCAATGTACCTTTCCAGCCAGGCAGGCTTCCAGTTTCCCGACCAATAGGCGTTCATGCGTGCCTGTTTGCGAAGGGTTCTTTGAGGTCCAGATCCTCCACGATGCTGTCGAAGTTCGGCTGGGGTTCTTGCGCGAGCTTGCCATACTCCATGGAGCCAAAACCCAGTCGAGGAAGCCGTAGAGGAGCTGCTGGTGCCGTTGTCCACCGAGTCTGTGATTTCGCCATCGGCCGAGGATCCACCTGCCGTTGTCGAATTGTAGGCACCAGCGAGGGGGTCGGAGCGAACCTCGAATGCTTCACCGTAAAACGTCACAGCTTTGACTGTTGCATCACCCTCGGGCGTAGTCGACGTTCCAGTGATCACGAACGGCGGGCTTGTAGAGGAGGAGGCCGAAGAAGAGGAAGGCCCTTGCGGTGAGCAAGTAGTCCGTGAGACAGAGGCCGCCAAAGTCCCCGATGAATTGTCACCCTCGCCCTTTGTTGTTTGTGCGAGCCTTTCTTGCCTCCTATTCCTGACAGTTCCATCGGGGTGGTGCCAACGGTCAACCCCCTGTCGAGTTCTTTGGCCTCGTTGAGTCAAGGGCCTACAATTTTCATCCCCGACATTACAAGTGGGCGTGGTAAATGTGGCTGGGTCACGTCCTCCCACGTCTACCATATTGGTCTCGGGACGAGCGCGGCGACGAAGAGGACGGTTGTCTAAGATTGCCAGCCACCAATCCTTGCCTGGCGGGTTCTGGATGGCGTCCTCCGGCGCATTAATCACGGCGGTTGCCAGCTCGGTGCCGAAGGGCAGGGGGAGTTCCTCGGGAATGGGCGCCAAAGTCTGTAATCCGCTGTTCTCAGCCAAGAGAAGACTGATCTCCTCCTCTTGGAGCCCCAGACAGACTTCCTCATCCCAACGAGAGGCCATATAAACCGTGTGGTCCACTGCTGAAGCCGGTGGAGAGTGATTCACCCACGGGGGAGACCAGGGAGAGGACGAGGTGGAGCTTGGTGGCGGAGCAGAAGAGGAACTCGAAGAACACGGCCATGGTGTAGGGCAGCATGACGGGGAGGGAGAAGACGAGGTGGACGCTGAAGTCAAAGCCGAAGAAGTAGTCCCAAAAGTCACCCCATTGCTTCCTCCTCCCATCGGTACTGATGAAGACCCCGGCGTAGTACAAGGCGGTCCTGCTGGGGTGTCTTCATCAGGTACGTCCCATGCCGAGGTCGGCCACGGATGGACGTTCTCGGTCCCGGCGGTCGTGTGGTGGGGCCAGGAGTAGTTCCATGCCGAGGCGGGTTCCACAGTCGAAGTCGTCCAGGGCTCATCCTGCCATGCCTCAGCAGTCACCGCCGCAATTTCTGAGGGTGTCCATGGGCGGTTCGAGCTCGTCAAGTCAACCAGGTTGTGGTTCTCCTGGTTGTTCCGGCTGTCGTCCGGCGTCTCATGCATGGCGAGCGCGGCGAAGAGGAGGGAGGCGATGAGCTGCATCATCTCACGGCGCGGCGCCATGACCACGGTGAGTACGAAGGGGCCGCTGGAGGTTTCCAAGGAAGGCCTCGAGCCGCAGGCACCGATGTAAGCATACGTGAAGTCGGCTTTAGATTGCAAGAATGGTTCCACTGGTGGCCACTGCTCCAAGCTAGAACATTGAGAACATGTAGACAGGCAGGCAGATATCGCTTCAAAGACATTCCGGTGTTTCGTGGGGGGTGGAAGACAGAAACGAAGTGAGTAAACGGACGAGCCATGTCAAGCAGTTGTACTCGAGGTGAAGCGTATGAGAAAGACCCCTAACTCGCCCTCATCAGCTGGTGTCAACAACTTCATACAGGGCCGAGAAAGAAGAACACTCAATAGCATACAGCAAGCTGACGTCCCGAGCACCACTTAACGTCCCACATCCTAACATAGTTTTCCCTTTCCTTCGCCCAGTGCAGCCGATCTTGTGCAGCAACACCCCATAGAGTACCATGACATTCAGCCAGCTGACGTTCCGTATTGGAAGCGTAGAAGCGTCCTGGGTGACGCATGCCAGTCGTGTCACCGAGGGACTGTTGTTGTCTCCACCAGTGCGTGTTCCGCCATTGGAGGGCCCGAAGTGCTGGACCAGCTCTGGCAACTTGCTTGACAATCTCAACTCTCCTAGCCCAGTGTCCGTGTAGCATATGCTGGAGACTTAGAACACGAGTGGACCAGCGAGCGAAGTCATGGTTGGAGAGCCACAGTCGAACGAGCCGAAGAGAACGTTTGTTCCATTCAACCCATCCTTCTCCTCCTTGTCGCCGAAGTCCAAATGCAGCCCTACACACATGCAACTGCAAGACATTCAGAGCATGTAGGTCATCTTTGCTCCAATGCAGGGAACCACCGATCCAATTGAACTGTGATTCGACAAGGGTACGAAGGATCCTAGCTTTGTTCACCCACGAGCCAGACGCATGAAGGATGTCTCTGTGGACGGCCGCTGCATCTCTTGTCCGGGCAATGATTTGCTTCGCCTGTTCAGATTGATCTTCACTCAAGGAAAAGTCCAGCCCCAGCACCTTGACAACGTCGCCCCGGTCCGCAACGACGAAGAGACTGTCACCCATCTTCGCCCTTCTTGCACCTGTATAGTGACAATTAGCAACGATCTTCGTCTTCCCCTCAGCAAGTCGAAGACCTGCGCGAGCCAAGCACTTGTCCACAGCTTTGATGCGGCGGCAGAGCTTGGAGATGTTGTTTTCAAGAATGAACACGTCATCCTGGTAAAACACGAGAGTTATGTCGGACCCTGGAAAAGGATCACCAAGTTCACCCCACTGGCGAGATCCGACAAGTTCAGCAAGGAGGTCATCCATTATAAGACCAAAGATCTCTGCGCTTTCGGGTGCTCCCTGCTTAATACCCACGTCAGGCGAAACACTTATGCTGGATCCTCCTGGGGCCATCCCAAGAAGCGTATGTGACTTGAGCTGGGACAGCATATAGCGGAGTTCACTGCTGACTTCTCTGTCACGGAGTCGTCCAACCAGGAGATTTGCAACTTTCCTTCTGTCAATGCGGTCGAAGGCACCTGCAACGTCTAGTTTGCAGAGCAGGAAGGGACATTTCCATTCGCGGGTAGAGTCTCGCATTCTGGAAATACACCCCACAAGGTCGGCGGCCTGTCTACCCTTGCCACAGCAAGAGGTGCTTGACCCTTGGCGCATCAGAGGAAGTACTCGTGAGCAGACCAATCGATTGACCAGCTTATTGAATGCCGAGGACACGGAGATCGGACGAAGGTCAGATGGTTTGTTGGGCGACGGGATCTTCGCCAGAAGTGCCAGGAAACTTCTTTCCCAACTGGGTGGTGTCTGTTGGTGCTCGACGATGTGGTTGATCAAGTTAAGCAAGCTCAGCCCGTGTTTAGGGTGATCCATGATAACTCTCAGGAGGTGAACACCAACCCCGTCGGGCCCGACAGCACTACGACACTTCATGTACTGCAATTCTCCCCTGACCTCAAAGTCCTGAAACGGCACGAAGACGGGTTTAGGGTTTAGGGTTTAGGGTTTAGGGCTTCAAGACGTAGGTCAGCTGGTCTTTCATTTCAGGGCCCTTCCCCAGGTGGTTTTTCATTTCAGGGCCCTTCCCCTCCGGGTTACCTTTATGGCCTAGCTGTATGGGATTTCGGGTTCGGCGCATAGGAGCCCGAACAGTTCGCAGAATGTCCGGAACCTCTTGGAAAACAACAAACCCTAAACCCCAAACCCTAGACCCTAAACCCCTAAACCCCTAAACCCCTGAACCCCTAAATCCCGAAACCCTAATCCCTAAACCCTCAACCCTAATCCTAAACACTAAGGTCATTGCCACAAGTCCTGAAAGCATTTGCAGCATTCCGAGGCCACCGCGAAATCCTGGAGCCACTATCCGACCTCGTGCAACCAATTCAGTTTAGGGTTTAGGGTTTAGGGTTTAGGGTTTAGGGTTCAGGGTTTAGGGTTTAGGGTTTAGGGTTTAGGGTTTAGGGTTTAGGGTTTAGGGATACATGCGCGCACAACCCAACAGGCACG